ATCATCAACATCTCTGCCCCTAATCCCTTTAGGGATTCTGAGTATAGAGCAATTTTCTGATGAGGCAGCCAAATCAAAACAATCACTCCTGACTCGGTATCCCTAAAAGGATTACCCTGCTCCCAATTACCTTATCCCTACTTCAACTTCCCTCCCCCTTACTCCCAGACAAAAATTGGTCCAAAAATCTTTTTCTTGCATATATATCCATATTTTTATGCACCCTCTTAACCCGATTCCCACACTCCAGACTCCCGTGCTTTCAAGTCTCATGCAATTTTGTGCGAGACTCGCACATTTTCATGCTTATTTGGTGGCGTTTTCCTTTGATCTATTGTTTTTATTTCTCTTTGATCTTTACAATTTTTGCCAAATCCAACACATTTGCTTCATGAAAACTTGACAGCCCTAGGACTCCCTCTTCTCTTCCCTGACTCCCGCTTCCCACCCTCTCAATTCCATTTTCCCTTACCCCTGTCCAACCCTCTTATAAAGCAACTAAGCAGTGAGGTACATTTATAATTCCCAAACACAAATACACATATAGTACATGTAGTAGTGCTTCTCTACAGGTCTAGGAAACTGGTTGTTTTTCCCAGGCTATAGAGACGATCATAGACCTTATCATTATTTGTGACTCCGAGACACTTCTTCTCTTCTTCTTCTTCTCTTCTTTCTTTTTTCTTCTTCTCTTTATTATATACAGAAAAACATCAACTGATTGATGATTACTTTCTGGCGCATGTCTGGTTTAACAGTATTTTTAATAATTACAAATTTATTTTTCTACTTTCATATAACTTAAACTTATTAACTATTGAAATCATAAAACCTTCAGTTTGCTATGTGTTATCAGACATTTTCTCTTGTGATGTCAAAATTTTACCGAAATGTTTGATGTGTCCAGTAAAGGCAGACAAATATAGGTAAGGTGCATTTCTTTCTCACCAGATCATTTTGCTTCGTGTCATAGATATAAGAAGATGTGGTATGAGTGCCAATGAGACAACTATCCATCAAAGTTCAAATGAAGAGGATGTAAGCAATTATAGGTAGCTGTACAGCCTTCAACAATGAGAAAAACCCATACCCTATAGTCAGCTATAAAAGGCCCCGACATGAAAAATATGAAACAATTCAATTCAGAAAACTAACAGCCTAATTTATAACAAAACAATTTACAAAAAGCAATATTACAGACATGAACCAACGACAACCACTGAACTACAGGCTTGGGACAGGCACATAAAGAATGTGGTTGGGTTAAATATGTTTGTGAGTGCTCAACCCTCCACGTAACCTTGGACAGTGGTATTACAGCACAACATTAGAACAAGCTATGAAAATCAGTTGAAAAGGGCTTAACTCATCAGATTGATACAAAGCAGAAACTCATCAGATTGATACAAAGCAGAAAAACATCGAACAAAAACACAGACTGGATGTGGCTGGGAATTTATACAGCCCTAACAGCAAAAAAGACACAAAGTGCAGATCTGAGAGTACTCACAGTTACTGACAGCTAGTTCAAAGCCAATAACAATAAATAAAAAAAAGTAATGTACCTAAGACTAATATATCAATCAGTACACATCCAACATCCAATGGATTTAGTGTACATGGTGTAAAGACATCATTAACAGTCAGAGAAAAACATGACCTGGTGCAATGCCAAAATATAGGTATTGACAGATTGTAGTACATCTACCGTAAAAAGTGCATATATGTGTATAACAGTACTATTTAGTATGCTTTTAATTTACTGATAACAAAATCAATATTGATACCAATAAAAAACAATATTCTAAGATCTGATTACAGTGTTGAATTGGTTGCCTATCAAAATAATAAAATTGAGAAGGGAAACAGACAATGTGTCAAAGAGACAACAACTCGACCAAAGAGCAGAAAACAGCGCAAGGCCACCAATGGGTCTTCAACACAGCTAGAAAATCCCACACCCAGAGGCGGGCTTTAGTTGGCCCCTAAACAAAAATGTATACTGGTTCTGAGAAAATGGAGGTCACAGTAAACTCTGAAACATATAAAGAACCAAAATGAAAAAAAACATACAATACTAACAAAGGCCAGAGGTTTATTTGAAGGATTGATAAGTTTACCCAGATTGTATCTAAATTTCCAGGCTCGGTAAATAATCACTGTAAAATTTAGGATGTGCTATTCCGTTTGAAATAAGTTTTCTACATATACAAGTATATATGTTATATAGAAATAGCATGAATAAGAAGATGTGATATGATTGCCAAATGTCACAACTATCAACCAGAGACCAAATGATGTAGATACTAACAACCACAGGTCACATATGGTCTTAAACAATGAGCAAAATCCATACCAGGTAGAAACCGATAAAAATCATTGAAATGACAATGTGAAAAAAGGAAACAACCTGATTTTGTACAAAACGAAGAACAAATATTTATATACAGCAACAAACAACAACTTATGATTATGAATTACAGGCCCCTTGACTTTGGACAGATACAAACACAATGTACATGTAGTGGTGTTAAATATTTGTTTCCTGCAGCTTTTTAAAAGGGCACGGTAATTTTTTCTCAGAGTACACTCTTGTGGCAACACTTTAAGGGCACTCTTATCTTGGAGGACTACACTTTTAGGGCACCCATAATACAGATATAAAGGCACTGTTATTGAAAGAGATTTATTCAAATTATACCATTGTTTCATATTAACTGTTAAGAAAAAAAAAGATTCTATTCCTACAGAGTGACAGACTTTGCATTGAAATGAAATTATTAAGGTAAATAAAAATGAAAAATATTATAAGTTCAATATCAGTAAATAATTTGTGTTCAAGAAATATTGCCAGAAAAAATTGCAACTATTGATAAAGAAGATTAAATCGAAAAATATATACCATAAGATTTTTTATTTAATCAATGCAAAACATTACACGTGTGTTCATTTTCTTCCATTCTTATTTTGTGGTTATTAGCTAGGAGAAACGGTCATCTGCACGCTTTTAATTACGGAAAATTTGACAAATGATTAATAAGATTTTAATTGATTTTAATTTTTCCCAACATTCACCAACTTGGGTTAAAATGTCACAATTAATAAAATTACCCTATGACCAAAAAATTTATAAATACTTGATTTTCTCCGTTTTTAGAGGGAATATAAATTTAAAACTTTGTGAATGTGTTTTTTATGTTATGATGAACATATTTAGATGATAAGTTAAAAATCAGGGATTTTCCCTTTAAGTTACTAATTTCTTTCCTTTTAGTTATAATAAAATGTTTATTTTTTTACTCAGGTCAAAGTGCAACCATCTTATTTCATTGAATAATTCCAGATATAAACTTTAATACTGGATCCTAGGGTTTCTGTGGATTTGTTGTGAAAGTGTCAAGACTTGCATGACCCAGAGCATATTTATTGCTTTTTAGCTCCACAAAAGAATTCTGACAAATACTTGTTGGATCTTCTTCATGTAATTAATTCTGTGTTTTTTTGCTTTTAAATTGAAACTGTGTTGGATTTTGGTACTAAAAACCTTATCAGTTAACTTACATGACTTATAAACGACTAATTGTCTTTCATGATAAGTTGTAATAGTTATCTCCCTTCTTCATTGTTCTTACCAGCATTCTAAGTAATTGGTTGGGTTATAGAATAACAATTGGACAGCTCAGGTCATGCATTGTATAGTGTTGTAGATGCAATCAAAACTATGTCCATGATGTCAGCTATTCTCTTAATTTTTATTTTATTTAGCATGTTTAGATAACAGAAAGAGTGATAAATTCCCACTCCTCACTTGATGGAATAGTTAGATCTGATGAGTTAAGCCTTTTTCAACTGATTTTTATAGTTTGTTCTTAAGTTGTGCTGTTACACCACTGTCCCAGGTTAGGGGAAGGTTGAGTGCTCACAAACATGTTTAACCCCACCACATTCTTTATGTGCCTGTCCCAAGTTGGGAGCCTGTAGTTCAGTGGTTGTCATTTGTTCATGTCTGTCATATTTGTTTTTCGTTAATTGTTTTGAAATAAATTAGGCTGTTAGTTTTCTCAATTGAATTGTTTCATATTTTTCATGTCGGGGCCTTTTATAGCTGACTATACAGTATGGGTTTTTCTAATTGTTGAAGGCCCTACATTGCCTATAATTGCTTACATCCACTTATATGAACTTTGATGGACAGTTGTCTCAATGGCAATCATACCTCATCTCCTTATTTTTACATTAAAGTTGTTGCTATCTTCTTCTTTGAACAACGGGTCAGATAAGTTAGTCCTCTGTGACGTTACGTTTTTTTTGCTGAAAAATTAAACAGGCAGCCAGTTTAGAAAATTTTAAGTTTTCTGACTTCTAATTCCTGTTGTGGTCTTTCTATTTCTTCATCTTGCATATATAGACCATTTGTCTAATTGCAATACAGCTTTTTAATGATGCAAAAAATGGATCATAGTCAAAATTTTATTGTCTTTTAGCATGTTTAGTTATATAGAATAATGGCATTTTCATTTTTGATACTGACTTTTATCAGCAAAAATATCAAGCGAGCCCGCTATGGCGAGCTGATATTCGAGCTGATAAAGTCAGTATCAAAAAATAAAATGCATTATTCTTTTTATCAGCAATTTGTCTTAACATTTATGTTTTTTTGGTCGAAAATATGAAATTAAATAAAATAGTTAGTAAAACTATTTATATGCCTGCATTTCATTGATAAACTGATGATGATGGACATCAACACGTGACGTTGCTGCACTGATACACGATGTCATTGCCTAATATTTTTGAGTATCAAGTCCTGAGTGTCAATGATCTTGGAAATATTAGGCAGTAAGATCAAAGGGAAAAAGTACAAATTGCAGATAAATAAATATATCAAAGCTTTGTTTGAAAAACACTTGTAGTCTAAGAAGTGATATTTGGAATGTGTGCTATAAAGATGACAATATACATGTATTCTCAAAATGAGTTAATTACCCTTTCTTTTGTAGGTATTATTGGAGCAGGAATTGGTGGAACATCAACTGCACATTTTATGAGAGAATTATTTGGTGATGAAGCAAAGATTGATATCTATGAGAAAAACAATGTTGGGGGTAGGCTAGCAACTGTTGCCATGGGTGACCAGGAGTATGAAGTTGGAGGAGCAATCATTCATCCCAAAAATATGTACATGGTTAATTTCACAAAAATTTTAGGTCAGTTTAAAAAACAATCAGTACACTTGAAAATTTATTTGTATAAAAAACCCTGACTATTACAATTATGTGATTTAAAATTTTTATAATTTTCCTGCTTATTTATTTTTCTATTTTTTTTACATTACAAACTGGATTTGTGCAATGAAAGTTTCCATCTCCACATGTGTTTACCAATACTTTTCCATGTTGTCAGTTTTGTGTAGTCACAGAAGCTTCAGAAATATATGGAATCTATTTAAATCAAAATTCTTGTAATGAAACCACTTGATACAGTATTAAATGGAGTTGTATTATTGTTGTAAGATTTGTTGCAGAATAAGTCAATTCAGAGATAGTACAATATTGAATATGAGCTATATATCCAATGTTGATGGTTTCCTTCACTATTAAAATAACAACATATATGTGTTGGTAGGCACTGAACAAAAAGATATGGCATACACACACAAAAATAAAACAAGATTTAATGGAAAAACTGAGTGAGAAAAAATTTAAATTCCATTGATTTTTATGCTAATTGAAAAAATGTTATCGTTACATTTGTCTGTGTGTTCAAAACAATGGTTTCCAGATGAAAACTTGAGTTTCCCTTTCTTTATTGGAACAAAACTTATACAAATGGATAACATAGGGAAGGTGGAAAAGCCTATATAGTTTGGGGTTATCTGGACACAGTTCAAGGTCAATAGAACTTTTATTGAAAAATGGTTACTCAAACTTCCCTTGCCTAGTTGGAATGACATGACACCTATTGATTTGGGGGTCAATAGATTAAAGTTCAAGGTTGTGGGTTTTTTTTTGGGGAAAAACATAGTTTTTATATGCCCCACCTATGATAGTAGTAGGGGCATTATGTTTTCTGGTCTGTGCGTCCGTTCGTTCATCCGTCCGTCCCTCTGTCCCACTTCAGGTTAAAGTTTTTGGTCAAGGTAGTTTTTGATGAAGTTGAAGTCCAATCAACTTGAAACTTAGTACACATGTTCCCTATGATATGATCTTTCTAAATTTAATGGTCCACTGAACATAGAAAATGATAGTGCGAGTGGGGCATCGTGTACTAATTGGACACATTCTTGTTTAACACTTTAAAAGACCATATTTGTACAGCATGTATTGTTTTCCCTCAATAAATATGTAGGTTGGGGAGCATCTCCTGAAAGTTTCAAAATTTTGTGACATCTTCATAACAGCATGTCAAAGAATTGTTTTCAACAGAGTCCATTCATGTCATTGATGTTATTGTATAGGTCTTGGCCAGACATCACATTCTGGAGGTACTCTAGGGATATGGAATGAAGAGGAGATGGTTGTAAAGACCAGTAAATACAAAGTAGTTGCCATGGCACAGTTACTATGGAGATATGGAATGGATATATATAATATACAGAGCTGGGTACAGAATGAACTGATGAATCACTTTATGAAGTAAGTTTCCCAAAAAAAGATCTAATTTCAACTGGAAGTTCAGATGTTATTGTTCTCATTTATCACATCTGTAGCCAGGAGGTGCTCAGAACACCTCCTGGCTACAGATGTGATAAATGCGTACAATAAAAACAAAATAAGAAGGTTAATAGTGTTTGATGGTTTTTAAGACCCCCTTTAAAACCATCAAACACTATTAACCTTCTTATTTTGTTTTAATTGGAGCTTTTAGGGGCCTTGAGTTGCATATAGATGAAAGTACCACAAAAATTTCTGAATTAACATTAGCGTACTAATTATACTAATACTAATAAGAGGCATTTATTGTATGAAATTTTTTTATGGACCATTACATGGGAATAGTGGTGCATTGAACACTTTGGGTAGAGTAAAATATACTGCTCTGTCACAGGTTATCTGTAGATAGCATCCTTGTATGAAAATGGCAGTCCCTTAACTCTTACTTTGGGTTTAACTCCTCCAATCAAACTGGATACTTGCTTAGAGAAAAGAATTTATAACATTTCAGAAATAGGGGACAGCTTCAAATTTAAAAGTGCACTTTATCTTGACCTTAACACAAGCTTATAATATGGTTACACCTTTTATAAACGTACCTTTATACTTCAGAATTTATGATATACAGGCAGGTGGGCATGCCTATACCTCTGTTACAGATTTACTTGCAGCCATGAATCCAAGATTTGTTGATTTTCTGTCTACCTCAATCAAAGATCTCATGAAAAAAGAAGGGTATTCTGACAGGTTTATCAATGAATTGGTAATGGGAGCTATGAGAACCAATTATGGACAGACCACAGATATACCAGCATTTGTTGGTAAATATGTAGTATTTCTGAGCTACTAAATTATAATAGTCCTGACCTACCATGTTGAACAGATTATTTTTGAATGGCTTTAAGCATAAAAAAACTAAAATAAAACAAAAAGAAAATACCTACTAAAGATTCACCTGTACTTGTATTTTTCACCTGGCTTATAATTTCTATGTGTTCACCTATATCATAACTGTGCTGCCATCTTAATTGTCTTCTTAAACCTTTGAGGCAAAATTAAAGAACTTTTCAAAGGTAACAACAACCTATAATTGATGACCACATGATAAATGTCTTTATTACAAATACAAAGCAAAGTATCAGTCTTATTATAGAATTCTGTACTTGCAATGTAACTTATACTTTATATTTACATATAATGCCTTTGTACCGGACGAACGACATGATTCATTTATCAATATGAAACTCGATTAAAAATGAAGTAACATTACAAATGCGTTATATGTATGTGAGATACCTCAGATACTTTAGTAAAGCATACATTATATCACAAATGTGGAATTTTCTATATGGAAACGAATGATCACCTTTCATATGTTATTTATAAACCATCATGATTTGAAGTTTATGCAATATGGCATGTTTAGTTTTATTCATATATAAAGTATACCTACAAACCACATATCCTATTCAGTTTACCTACAAACCACATATCCTATTCAGTATACCTACAAACCACACATCCTATTCAGTATACCTACAAACCACATATCCTATTCAGTATACCTACAAACCACATATCCTATTCAGTTACCTACAAACCACATATCCTATTCAGTTACCTACAAACCACATATCCTATTCAGTATACCTACAAACCACATATCCTATTCAGTTACCTACAAACCACATATCCTATTCAGTATACCTACAAACCACATATCCTATTCAGTATACCTACAAACCACATATCCTATTCAGTTACCTACAAACCACATATCCTATTCAGTATACCTACAAACCACATATCCGATTCAGTTTACCTACAAACCACATATCCTATTCAGTTTACCTACAAACCACATATCCTATTCAGTTTACCTACAAACCACATATCCTATTCAAACCACATATCCTATTCAGTTTACCTACAAACCACATATCCTATTCAGTTACCTACAAACCACATATCCTATTCAGTATACCTACAAACCACATATCCTATTCAGTATACCTACAAACCAAATATCCTATTTAGTTACCTACAAACCACATATCCTATTCAGTATACCTACAAACCACATATCCTATTCAGTTACCTACAAACCACATATCCTATTCAGTTTACCTACAAACCACATATCCTATTCAGTATACCTACAAACCACACATCCTATCCAGTATACCTACAAACCACATATCCTATTCAGTATACCTACAAACCACATATCCTATTCAGTTACCTACAAACCACATATCCTATTCAGTATACCTACAAACCACATATCCTATTCAGTTACCTTCAAACCACATATCCTATTCAGTATACCTACAAACCACATATCCTATTCAGTTACCACATATCCTATTCAGTATACCTACAAACCACATATCCTATTCAGTATACCTACAAACCACATATCCTATTCAGTTTACCTACAAACCACATATCCTATTCAGTTTACCTACAAACCACATATCCTATTCAGTTACCTACAAACCACATATCCTATTCAGTATACCTACAAACCACATATCCTATTCAGTATACCTACAAACCACATATCCTATTCAGTTACCTACAAACCACATATCCTATTCAGTATACCTACAAACCACATATCCTATTCAGTATACCTACAAACCACACATCCTATTCAGTATACCTACAAACCACACATCCTATTCAGTATACCTACAAACCACATATCCTATTCAGTATACCTACAAACCACATAACCTATTCAGTATACCTACAAACCACATATCCTATTCAGTATACCTACAAACCACATATCCTATTCAGTTACCTACAAACCACATATCCTATTCAGTATATATACCTACAAACCACATATCCTATTCAGTATACCTACAAACCACATATCCTATTCAGTTTACCTACAAACCACATATCCTATTCAGTATACCTACAAACCACATATCCTATTCAGTTACCTACAAACCACATATCCTATTCAGTATACCTACAAACCACATATCCTATTCAGTAAACAAGGTCAACACAATGTCATTTGATTTCTTGTTTCTTAGTTTTACCTCAACTTTTTCTTTATAATCCAGGTGTTGTGTCTATGGCTGGTATTGATGATGGACTCTGGTCAGTTAAAGGTGGAAACAAAAAGGTTCCAGAACTCCTGGTCAAACATGCAAAGGCTAATCTTATAGAAGGGGAAGTAAAAGTTGTCAGATTGATAGAGGAAGATCCACCATTGTATGAAATTGATTACAAATGCAAAAATTGTGCTTCTATGAATGAGATCAAGACTCGTGAATATGATATTGTAGTTGTAGCTAAACCAATACATCCTGACATCAACTCTATCAAGTTTGAAGGATTCACAACAGAGATTAAAAACTTTCCACAGAAATATCACGTAGTGACAGCTAACATGGTTAAAGGTAGTCCCAATGCTACATATTTTGGTTTAAATTCTCCTGATGATTTTCCTACGGAATTACTCACAGGAAGTGATAAAGTTCACTTTAATTCCATTGGGAAACATAAACCTGTTAATGATGAGGATGGTCCTTCTGTGTATAAAGTTTTTACCAATACACCTCTAGATAAACAGAAAGTTAAGACTTATTTCAATAATGAAGACGATTTACGTATGGTATTTTGGCGAGCTTATCCGGAATATGATTTTAAAGCAGATACTTTACCTCCCTTTGTTTTACATGATAAGATATATTATGTAAATGCTATAGAATTAGCGGCATCAGCCATGGAAATGAGTGCCCTCTCTGCCAAAAATGTGGCCTTACTAGCACACCACCACTGGACTGGTAACCTAGATAAGATAGATGAACCTTATGATGTTAGAGGAGGCACAGATAAAACAGAATTATAGGAAATTAATGATTATACTCATTATGATTAAAATTGCCAATCAATATTACAATCTGATTAAATATTATTTCTTATTCTTTGATTATTTGAAAACAAAATAATCATAAATAATCTTCATTTTATACAGGAGAAATAATCTTCATTCTATACAGGAGAATATGATGCTGATTTTTTTCCTTCAAAATTATAGTTTAAATTTATATCTTTATTGAAATGATATGTATGGTCTATTTCAGACATTTGTTGTTTACTTGGGAAATTTTTAAGATTTTAATAATTTTATTTCATCAACTTCTCTAAAAAAAATTTAAAGATATTTTACTTCATGACGGGCCTGTCTTATGGTAAGGGCTGTTCTATTTAAATATACATGGTACCCAGTGAAGGCACTTTCAAAATGAGGTAACCCTTTATAGAGTCAAATTTAGAATTTCACTTACATTGGGGTTGTCAAGAAACAGACATCCCACTGGGATTTAAGATCCACCTCCAGTTCATGTATTGATTTTGCCATACACATCTTTCATTAGAAGATCATAACCCATCAGGTATACAATTTGTGACATCTTTATTAGATGTTAACGACATGGGATCATTCATATTAATTAGATAAAAAGCTTAGTACACAGTTCCCACAGACATTATAACAGTAGATGAACATTTATGTACCATTGACATATAAATATCTACCTACTGTTATATTACGTACCTGAAATTGTACCCCATTGATATATTTGACATTCCAAAAAACCCATTGTCTATATCTTATAATTAATATAGAAAGAGATCCCCCTGAGTAAACAATTGTTCAGTTTTAATATGAATCATTCCATGTTCTTCTCATGTAAAAGTCAGTAAATTAAATAAACAAGCTTGATTACTTTTATAATGAAGACTTATCTGTGTGTTGCATACATTGACTAAGCTTTTTGTACATTTAGGTAGATGAATTTTTTAAAGGGACATTTTTTAATTTACTTGTATATGTATATGTTTGTAGAATATGAATAATAGACACAATTGGTACTTATGTGTTCATAATTGTTTTTTTTTTTATTCAAATTTGTATTGTTTGTGTTGTGAAAAGATGCCTGTCAGCTGGAATTTTTAGTTGGAAGAATGGCCATGATGGCTGTGTGAAAAAAATTACAAACCATTATTATTGTGCAAGTACAATCTTATGTACAAAACCATGAACTAGAGGATTTTTGAAATTTGCATCTAAATGATATCGACTTATGAGTTTGAATGTCCCTTTGGTATCTTTTGCCTTTCTTTTGCAAACATATAAAGCGGTTAACCTCCTTATATAAGGAAATTTTTGGTAGTGGGTTTTTATTTTTTTTAAATGCCTATTGCACTTATTTTTTGTTGTTGTTGACTTTTTTTACATTTTTTGCATTAAAAATAGGGTACTGGTATTTAAAGACTTCCCCAAAAGAACTTCCAGATGAATGAAATCGTTGATGAATTAGTTAACAACTACATGTAGTAAGGAAACTTTGATTCACTATTTACTGGAAATGAAAAATCGGTACAGGAAAAAACACTTAGTTCTATAGTAAAGGTATAATAGATTTAAGCAACCATAAACAAAACAATAATAAGTAATAGCCTAAGAATGCTCACAGTTACTGAAAGGAAAGCTCAAAGTACTTCACCTGCTCACATGAAATCATGCAATCCTACACTTTTTATTAGAAGATCATATACAGCAATAGTATATCTAGTTTTCTTTGACTATTATATGAGTTGAAACATGAAGATATTTAAAAATAAATCCTTGATATATAGTGGTCAATTTTGTTTCTGATAAGGAAAACTACCTTCAGACAATTCAGCTCCTGAAAGTTGGTGCATAATGTCTTTTTTTTTCAGATCATATATATGCTGCAATGAATATATTTCGAAATCCAACAGTTTCATACTTTTTTTGTCATACCTTAAATATTCACTGCTTATTAGTTTATAACTGTATCTAGATGAGTTATATGCAATTTTACTTTTGAAAAAATCAGCAATGTGTGGATGTTTGTCATTTCTTATCAATAATACTGATGTAAAGTTAAGTTAAAGATCAGCAGAGTTCTTCATATGTGGACATAAAATTTGATTTTTGTATTTTTATAAATAATACTGTCTTTTAAATATTTTTAAAAAGTATGTAACAGTGAAGTTTTTCAGAGCAGTTGGAGAAGAGAAGTTCTTTTGCTGGGCCAAACCAAAAACCCAGTTGAAAGTTCTGTACTCTTGTTTTGTTTTTGTTTTTTCCTTAGCTTATATTGAGACTATTTGCAGCTTTGAAATTTAAGTAGGATAGATTTAATGAAATCTGTACATTTTTTTCTGAATTGTTTTGAAATTTGAAAACAATAGTTTTACATGTTTTATGACCATAACTTATTTGTATCCATGCTCTGTCAACAGTTCCAACATAATTACAACATCTGATGAATTCTACAATGCCTTTAGTGTTGAGGTGAAGTGTAATACTGAAGAAATATAATGACTATATTAGTCCATATCATAATTTGAATTTTATTCAAATGTAAAATGAATGTCATAAGTGAACGTGTTTTTTTTTTTGTGTTTTCAGTGCAATAGGTATGGTAAGCAAGCATGCTAATTTTATATAGGATGGATAACAGGTTTTTTAGTTCATTATTTGTTGATAGAAATCAGAGATTATTTTGAATAAGCATTGTTTAATTTTTCATATTTGATCATAATGCAGTTGTTTTCGAATAACTGTTTATTAGGATATAAAATTCATTAAACTATATGTTTAAATTATATGTATGCCCTGTGAGTTCAATCATTCAATATTGCAATAGAAATTACAGATATGAACTGAAAAATTATGAAAAAAGATAGGATATGTTGTATAAATTCTCGACGGGAATGCCCTATGCACACAAGAAAATATCTACAGCAAAGGAATTGTGATATGCACCCAAGAAAATACCCAAAGCAAAGGAATTGTGCTTTTTCTGCTGTTCTTCATCTCAAAGTCACAGTGATGTATTCAATATACATGATATAGAGCAAACTCTCACCAAACTTCATATATATGACAGTCCCTATTACTCATGCTGAGTTGATTTTTTTGTGAGATGTGAATCTTGCCACATCTGTACATTGAAGAACACTACTGTATGATGATATAAATAAAATAAAAATACATCTAGCTAAGAAATCTAACAAAGCATTGTATTGAGAAATGAAAACTATATCCTATTACAGATACTGAAAATGACATTTATATATATATACTGTAAATTCAGAAATTATTGCGTTCATTTATTATTGCGATTTTTGAAGAATGGACAAAAATGCTAGATTTATTATTGCGATTTCAGGAAAATCTGCATACAGATGAATGTATTATTATTGCAATACTCGATCAGTTGCATTAATATATTATTCGTTATAATAAAAACGTCACATTAATTTCTGCATTTACAGTATATACAAATATATTGATTATCCAGAAGAAGAAAGGTGTTGCCTGACTAACAATAGCTATATTTTATTTGCTCTTTTGGTCCAGTGGTCTAAGGCACTTGACACAGTTCAAGAAGTATTTATTGCTGTTGACATTTTAGGTCTACCTATATACAAAATGACCTGATGAAATTGTAGTGGGATGCAATCTGGAACTTTTTACCTCACAATGTATGGATGCTTGCCTATTTTGAAGTTGTTCATGGTCCAACTGTTACAGAATTTCTGATTTTCAAGCAAAAATTATAGGTGCTTTAAATTTTTCTGTAGAAATCTAAAGATTTCCTTTTTTACTATAACCATATCCGTTTCACAAGGTATTTTTTCATCAGCAATGAGCTAACTGTTACTCTAGATTCTATGCAACATTTAACAAGAGGCTTTCTTCAAACTTCATCATTAACAATCAGTTACTGTAACTCTAAATTCTATACAACATTTAACAAGAGGCTTTCATAAAACTTCATCATTAACAATCAGTTACTGTAACTCTAGATTCTATACAACATTTAACAAGAGGCTTTCATAAAACTTCATCATTAACAATCAGTTACTGTAACTCCAGATTCTATACAACATTTAACAAGAGGCTTTCTTCAAACTTCGTCAGCAGCGATCAATTAACAGTAACTTGAGGAATGCTGATATGAAATACAGCAGCTGTTTTGTACTAATCATTTTGTATATCATCTTTGATGTTTTCTAACTCATTTGTATAAGTGTCTATGATAAATTGAGTAATCAAAAATGTTCATCCCAGTATTTTTGGGTTTCATGTTTTTTTTATAATCTTCGGTCTTTGTGAAGTGTTTTGTCTTTTTCTTTAGACATGTTTTTTTTTTTTTTTTCTTCAACTCAGGTTTCCTCCTTGGTATCTTCTTCCTATTTTTGAGGATTTGATGTAGTTCTTAATCTTCATAAAACCCAAGTACAAATATCGGAATTGGACAAGATGGGTAAGGCTAAAAGTAAAATAACATAAAATACCGTACTCAAAGGAAATTCAAAAAGGAAAGTCCCTTATCAAATGGCAAAATCAAAAGCTAAAACACATCAAACGAATGGAAAACAACTGTCATATTCCTGACTTGGTACAGGCATTTCCTTATGTAGAACATATTGGATTAAATCTGTTTTATAGCTAGATTTATAAAAACCAATGTCCACATATATTGTTCAATTTCGAAAAAAATATCTTCAAATGAGAGTTTCTGCCTGACTGGTAACCATCACCATAGTTGACAATGATCTATTGGTACAAAATAGACTAAACCCCTCAGTTTTCATGAAATTTGGTACAAGTTAACAGCACGAGAAGAGGATAAAACGTTTCGATCGTGAATATCACAGGTCTAAGCGTAATCTGACGGATACTGTTTATTTCCTTGGGTAACTAATATTCTAATCATGTACACATATAAACAAAAGATAATCACTGCAAGTGGTTTTCAAACAGTGTGTCCAATGTTTCTGAAAGGCTAAGAAATCATTGATATGACAACATCCTACCATATTTTTTGTAAATAATTTCATGTCTCCTAATTTTCAATTCGAATCAAGAGTCAATCTGAGGTCTGAGATCCTGGACAAATACTTTGCATTAGTACAAAATGTGAAGCCTGGTTTCTATGATGAGTTTAAAAATGTATTTACAACCAATGGGTCGATTCCACTGCTTGTGGAGGTTTCCTCCCCGAGTGTATCGCAAGCCCAGTAGTCAGAACTTTTTCGAAATTTTGGGTTCTCAATGCTTTTCAACTACGTATTTTTTTTTGGTCCTTTTAGCTATTTTATTCGAGCATCTTACAAATGTATGAGTTTGAATATCCCTTTGGCATATATCGCCTCTCTTTCACTAACGAGCCTTTTGTAGACAAAAAAAAACCGCGTCTGGCGTTCAAAATAGTAAGCCTGGTATCTATGATGAGTTTATTTATTAATCTTTGGTGAGATTTACATACCAACTTAAATATTTGGGGAAAGCTTGTACAATTTAACCTATTATAAGAAAATGATGATTCCTATGTGAATTATTGGTCTAGGTTGAGGTCTCTTCAACAAGAGAAGATTGATGTCTTACTTGGAATTTCCAATTAGCAACTATGATATCTAGATTATGTTCAAGCTTTGAAGTCACCGATATCTTAAAATATATTATTTTCATAAAGGACGTAACCAGTGCAGTTCAACAGCTTTTTCGCAAATTATGTCACTTTGGCATATTATTCATTCTTCAATGTGTGACTTGCAATTATATATGGGCTATGGATGTAATTTAGAAAATATAAAATCATTCCTTCGAAAGTCACTCTTTCCTAATTTCAAGCTTACATAACATTTATTTATATTAGCATCAAAAATCAGTTCTAAGATACGAAGTTCTCAAAAGTCATATAACGTAGGGTGAGCTGGGATCAACATAGGTTTTAGTCCTATGTATGAGAATACATCTAGCTGAGTTCAATCGCCGAAAATAGCTAATTATAATCTATATATATCAGCCATCAGTGACATTGGTAAGTATTTCACACATATTCGGGACATGATATATATGGGTATGAACATATGGCTTTGTACTGGATTTTCATGGGTTAGTTCACAAGGTACGCAAGAGGACATGTCACCACACAAAGACAAAATATTATGACACTTATTCTCCCAGTATTTGTTCTTACAATAAAAATGCAGAATGCTTATCAGAGAAGTAGCCTATACCAAATCAAACGGGGAATCGAATCAAGGACTTGCATAACATGGGGCGGGCATTATTTCAAGAGACCATTTATTAAATAAAGTTGCATCGGAATTTCATTTATCAAATAGTGGATAACTAACTTTAATGAGTGTTTACAACCACTAGTCGATGACACTGCTTGTGGAGGTTTCATACCCAATCACTAGACCGGTGGTCAGCACTTTTGTGTTTACATGAAATATCATTGATATCAGAGACATATATGTCTCTGTTGATATATTCATTGTCTGTATTTGCTGTTAGTAAAATGAATTATTCGAAACACTAACTAAAGGTTATTCTACCAACAGGTATATTTTCCCTTATAATAAGCATATTTGGCACAACTTTTAGGAACTTTTGGATTTTAATGCTCTGCAACTTCGTATTTGATTTGGGTTTCTCAACTGTTTTTGATTCGAGCGCGACTTATGAGTCCAAGTTATGTAAAAAAAAAAGAACGCAAAGTGTACAAAATAGTAAGCCTGTTATTTTTTATGAGATTATACAATTATATAACGTGATACAAGAATGCATTTACAGAAGAATAATAGCAATCCACCAATATAGTATGTTATTCTTTAACTTCCGGTTACCTTATTTCATGATTCATTGCCATATGTTAAATAAGTTTTCCATTCGTGTTTATAATTAGTTCTTAAAAGTATCAAGTGACCTACAGTCATACAGAAAACTAAGTAGATTGATGGATGTTTTAGGGGCAAAAGTATAAGCCACCAAAATGAAGTCACCCGATGTTAATGTCATGCTCCACTGACTTCTGTTGAATTTGAAATTCAAATTTCTTACATACTGTTTAGCTTGCAAGTAAGGAATAAAGTGTTAAAGCAAAATTTTACTTTTGATTTTTTTGATTTATTTGATTTAATTCTTTAAAGATAAGATTTGTTTGCTGTGCTTTGAGGTTTCGTCTAAATTCTATAAAACGTTCATTCTGTAATTTGAGCCATTAACGATTGCACAATTATGAACCTGGTATCTATAATGAGTATGTTTACAACCACTGGGTCGATGCCACTGCTGGTGGAGGTTTTCTCCCTGAGATTATCACCAGCTCAGTATTCAGCACTTCTGTGTTGACATGAATTATCATTTTTATGGTCTTATTTATAAATTACCTATTTTCAAACTTTGAATTGTTCTAAATACTCAAGATTTTCTACCCCATGGAATAGATTACTTTAGCTGTATTTGGCGAAACCTTTCAGAATTTGTCTTCTCCGTGATCTTTAACTTTGTATTTTGTTTGGCCTTTTAGTTTTTATACAAGCGTCACTGACGAGTCTTTCATAGACGGAACGCGCGTCTGGCGTACAACATTTAAAGCCTGGTATCTTTGATGAGTGTGTACCCTTCTTTTAAGGTGGTACCTAACACTACAGGGAGATAACTCTGTAAAAATCAGCTAAGCGTTTTAATTACGTTGTATTGTTAAGGAAATACTAAGCTTCTCAATGATCAAAATTAGTGTTTGTCAAACTGCTATATAACCAATGAAATTTTTCTGATAAAGTGGTTGGTTCAAATTTTTTGAAACTTTTATGTTTTTGTCAAAGGGTCAAAGTAAACATTTTGTCAAAATTTTATGAAAATTAAACGAGCCAAATTAATATTAGTCAAGGTGTTGGGTACCACCTTAAAGGACTTTTTTATGTGTCTTCACAAAAAACAAGTCCATCTCCTCATTACTCAAACAAAACAAAATTACTGAAAACGACTTCTAAATGAATTTCAAAATTTGTCCAAATATGTCCTTGCATTTCGCAGGTGTAAAATCCTTTCGGCCTGGTTTTACTAAAATAATATGGAAGGAACACATATACTGTATCGGAAGTTTGTCCACAGCATTGGGCACTATTCCTGTCATAAATAAGAAATTTCAATAGTAGTGAAAAAGCTTTAATAAACAATTGTTTTTAATGTAAAAACTATGGATCATAATGAAGATGATTGTCTTTGATATGATTGCATGTATTTATATTCCAGCCGTCTCATTTGTATTTTATACAAACATACATATATATACAATGCATGCAGTTTACCAATGAAACGTGCATTACATACTATTACCCCTTTTGTAAAGTAATTCATGGTACACTAACATTAATTTACACTATATAACTGTTTTAAGTTTACAGATCACACATTCTTCTGTCAACTGTGAGCCACAACCCATTCTCTGGTCTCAAATAAAATGTCTTTGCTAAAGTGGGTGGATCCTAGAAAGGAGAAAAATATCAAAATATACTATATGCTATTTTTCAATCCGTTCACATTGTCCTCAGTATATGAATAGGTTAAGTTTTGTAAACATGACTTATGTTGTTTTCCGTGAAATGCCAATTAAAAAGAATACATTTTTTTTTGGCAGGGACTATTTAAAATACACATATATTTCGTTCAAATTGCAGCAAAGTGAAAAATACCGCAATATTGTTGTTAGTTTTTTTATGTCTAAATCATATGCCTGGAGAAACAAAAGATAAAACAATTAAGAACCTGCTTTTTTGAATGGTGTCTTTTATAATTTCATGTATGCTTGTTTTTGACATGCAGGTTATTGGAACAGTATAATATCGTCTTGAAAAGAATGCCCCCCTGACGTTTTTTATTTGAAATGTATTGGAGGAAGGGGATGTAAAACTGTATGAAAAATGTAGTAAAAAACCAAGAACTTGCAAATAATTTTCCAGTTGTGTTTTGAGAGGCATGGGTTCAAGATGGATGCTACACAAATTTAATGCAATGTAAAGGAAAGGCCAGAAGGATCACAAAATATTAAGGAAACATTTAAAATGTATATTACATACCCTTTTATTCACATCTATAAGAATTATTATCAATATCCGTAATGTATTAATTACACTGCGATTATGTACATATTTACTAACATTTAGTATACTGTTACTCACATTTTGCTTTGAGCTAAGTGAAAACTTATACTTCTGGATTAAAGATACAACAGCTACTTTCACAGCTAGTTTAGCATATGATTGTCCAAAACAATCTCTTGGGCCAGCACCAAAAGGTATGAAAGACATTGGATGTCGTTTCGAGACGTTTTCCTTTCTAAATCTGAAAAATAAGAGAAAGGTTGCATATAAAAATAGAAAGATTTGGTATGATTTCCAAAGAGACAACTCTCCACTATATCATGCTTTCGTTTGGATTGATATCAAAAACACTGTCACACGCATATTTCTATACTTTTCTCTTAGATTAAAAAAAAACGTTTTCTTAAACTGGGGATTTATGGACGAAGTTGCAAGTCTTGCCTTTCGCATGTACAAGAATTACGGACATTTCAAGGCGAGATAACTCGTGTTACTTTTCTATTCTGGTTCCCATCTTGTTCTCATCGTCTGGTGACCAGTAGATAAGAATAGATAACTCCCCTAAACGAACGCCCCGCCAATAGATGTCACTTTGACGTTATGCCTATAGGGTAATTTATGATATTATACAAATATAGCCTTTGTATGAGGTCGATACAAGGATATATTGACCTGAAAGAAGTATATTGACTGAGGACGAAGTCCGAGGTCGATATACTTCTTTGGGTCGATATATCCTGTATTGACCTCATACAAAGGCTATATTTGTTATATTATTAATTTTCGACCATATTTGCATCAAAATCGTCATTTGATTTTGTTGGAATTTTATAGATATTATATTGTCTCCTTGACAATAACAACATATTAGTTGTTATTTCATTTACTTTTTTTTGTTTGTTTGACATCTTATGTATTTGAAAAAAAAATTTGTCAAATAATCGATCACAGATGTCATTTGTTTCAAAACGTTGAACAATATCCTGAAATTCATTACATGACGTCACAAAGTATATCGGTTTTTAGATATTCTAAAAATAACCGTGCAATATGCATTTTGCTGTGCAATATGCTTTTTGCTATCCGCCGTTTTCTCTCTACCTTCGAAAATATAGTTTAACATGTGACTATCCCTAAACGAATCAAATTTGTTAAAATATACGAATTAATAATATTAGCAGTTATACGATAATTCCGAACGCAGTTAGATTTAAGAAAGAAACCCCGCGTACACTATACACAGATGAATGATGAAGAAATTGCCGATAGAAAAGAAATAATTAAAAAAACAAAAGTTTTGCATGCCCTATGATGATCTATGATGTAGAAAGAATATTTACTGTTAACGATGGTTCAAAAGAGATACGTTTGTTTACATGTTATTATATTTCCTATATTTATAATATATGTATATCTCTTGATCAATACTTTTAAAAAAAAAAATTTCTTAATCTAGTAAATTTTCTTATTGTATGAAATTTGTAACCCTGTTTATACTACATACGACCTTTTCGGAAGCTTTAAGATAGTCCAAATAATTTATCATCGGTGTTTCTGATTTTAACAAGTTCAATAAAAGAAACATTTTAAAGCCGCAGGCAAACTGATCTATCCTTGTATATTTCTTTTTAATTGAATTAGATGAAAATCCAATATACAAATCCTTTCAACATCAAGCAGGCTTGAGTATTATCTAGATTATTATTACTTCCATGGTTTTATATAAAAAAAAATAGCATTTAACTCTTCAACGTGATTCTGGAAAAGGATAGACAATTTATGAATATGACGAAGACATAATCTTTCAATCAGTTTAATTGAAGTGTGGAGCTGGCATGTCAGTTGTTGCTAATAGTCCTTTAGTGTATTTATCATGTATCATTGTCATTTTGCTTAGTGAAGTGTCTTTTGTTATCTATTCTGACATCGGACTCGGACTTTCTTTTAAACTGAGTTTTACTGTGCGTATTGCTGTGTTTTGTTTATTCTACATAGGCTAGAGGTATAGAGGGAGGGTTGAAATCTCATAAAACATATAAATAAAAGCTACAGAAAGGCAATATCATAAATATGACAAGATGTACATTACTGTCAATTTTAGATTTTATTTGATATGGATAGGTCACATGTATTCGATATTGACATTGTATAAGCCAGATGTATACTCCATGCTGAATTTTATTTGATCAAGGTAACACGTAAAATCATTAACACCTGTGGATTAAATTGTAATATTTTTCTGTCCACTAGGAACATAAAATTTACATAATTCACTACCCTTAATTAGACATAGATATCAGTAAATAAAACCGCAGACTTTCTCCTTAAAGTTTAGTGGTTTGTACATATATTGAAGGTGTGCATGTGGTCAGGGTTTAATATTTGCTCTTTTGGGAGATAGTTGAAGTTATTTTAAAATAACACCATGCATCTGCGGGGGCATCATTTGTGTCTCCCAGACACAATTAAATCTCAGATAAAGTTCTACATTATCTTTGTTATGATACAGTTACTTCAGAGTGAAGTGCGGGGCATCACTTTGTCTAGTTAATTTTATAATTTTTTGTTGTTGTAATTAATCTTATTTGAAAATATTCGTTCATATTTCAGCCGTATCTCAATTTTATTTTGACTTTATAAAATTAGTTTATATGTGTTACCCTATATTCGTATGTGTAGAATACTCTTAAACATAAGAATAGAGGGCAACATACATACATTATTATTGTTAAATCGCATTGATAAGAGTTTGAACACTTTAGACAAGGTAAAAAAGTTGATGTGAAAAGACTATTTTGGAATTATATATTAATATCAAAAAATAAAAAAGGGGGTCTCCCAACAAGCTCTTGTGCATGGACTACTATATTTTCAATATAATACTTAAATGATAAGATAAAATAGTAACATATGGTATTGAATAGTGATACAGCACCGGAAAGGATTTGCCGTGGCACCATGGGACGCTTATACAATATACTATGTAAATATTGACACATTCGTGTTAATATGTTAGCTGAGATCGATAATTATGGAGCTTTTCTTAAAAAGGACTTCGTTGTTTTTCGTCATTTGTATTATTAAACGACATTTTATGAATAAACTAAACAAGGATTTGTATAGTACTATACAAATCCTTGTACTAAACAATAAGATTAATGTATGAAGGAGAACATAAAGATAGCATATCTAGCATGCTATGATATCTTACTGTATACATTCAAAATACTTGCATTTACTTCTTTGATCATTTCTTAAAATATTAAGAATAATATTCCCTATACCTTTTCATTATACAAAACTTGTATGAAATTTTGTATGTTTTGAATAACATTAAAAATTGCACGTTGTCACCTTTTCTTTTCTATTTCAATTTAGTTTTTCAGATTTCGTAGACATTTTTTTTCAATAATACAATCATGCAATTGTGTATTCAAATATTTGATAATAATAATATAATTTACTCAAATCAAAATAAGATTAATTAGACAGAGCCCTTTAAAAAAAAACAAACAAAAAAAAACACTTTTTGCAAAGTTTTCTTCAAGATGTCAACAAAACCACACTACTTTTAAAATTTTGATGTTTAAAGAACTCTTTGGTATAATAGAAATTAATATATTGTTTAAAACCTAACTAGATATTAAAATGATGGATGTAATTAGAAAAGAAGTTCACATCATAAAAATGAGAATTTAACTAAATAACAAGACCAATTTGTCTTTGAATACGGTCAATCTTAGTTGAATGAATATACATCGCATTCATAAATAATGAAGTTTCACTTTCAAATGCTTAGGGACAACAGTAAACATTATTTTAAAATGACGATTCTTATACCATTTTATAAAAAAATTATTTGCCAGTACTGTATAATTTGTTAATTTGATTTACAATAAAAAATGAATTTAATATGATTTTTTATAAAATATGCATACCTCGTAATTTAACATATCTCAACCAAAAGAGAACCCGGCGTTCAACATGATAGGGACACCAGTAAATATCAAGATAAAGTGGATTTTATTACACCATTTCAAAGCTAAAAAATTGGTGAGATCTCTATAATTTATTAATTTTATATGAGATTTATAAAATAGACACAGTATTCGTTTATTTAGCTAGTGGTCATAATTCCCCATAGACAATAACGTTAAAATTTTTTCAATGATTACGGTTCTCTGTGTGGTAGCTGATAAAGCCATCCAGCTGAGCTGTCCGCAATTCTTGAGTATGATATTTATTTTGAACTATACATTATGTAAGGTATCCAATCTGACTGTTTCACTTTGATCAACTTTATTTTATATTCAGTGATTTAGGAATCCGTCAACAGTTCCAGCATGAAGCATAATTTGCAATACAAATGCTACATTAAATCTAATACGGGACGAATATTTCACAATAGAGGGTAACCTAGGTGTCGTATGTTATTTCCAGTACTATATAGTTGTTTAAAGTAAAAAATACCCCCAAATATAATTATGCAATGAAATATTGTGTCGGTAAATAAGTTTACTGAATATATCTTTAAATACTATTGTTTTATAACCGCTAGTTGTGTAAAGTACACAATATAAAATGTCATATATTCATAATAAGTGACCTATGTGGTCTTAGGAAATAAAAAAATGTTTTAAAAGTGAAACAGAGCTTTTTTCTCGTAATATGGGTAATGGAGAATGAGTTTGATTTTATAAGAATTCTTAACTACATAGCTAATTAAAAAAGACGTAATTTGGTTTCGTTGTTATAACTTTTTTGTAATTCCACTATAGTCAGTACTTTAATTGTCAGTGTGTGTGTTGACCAGGAATACCAGTTTTCATTGACCAATCCAGGAGGTTCGATACTTTTTCTCACCTATATACAAAAACCCATTCATCCCCTATTCACCTTATAAATATCCGTTATATATTTTCAGTACCAGGTTAATAACATTTCAGCGTCAAGTTCTATATATTTCAGTTAGGTTACATAATTATACATATATTTCAGTGTCAGGTTACATTTACATATATTTCAGTGTCAGGTTACAAATACATATATTTCAGTGTCATGTTATACATATTTCAGTGTAAAGTTTTATATATTTCAGTGTCAGGTTACGCTGATATATTGCAGTGTCAGGTTATATATATTTCAATTTCAGATTATATATATTTTCAGTGTCAAGTTCTATATACATGTATTTCAGTGTCAGGTTATATTGCCTCATTGGCACGCATACCACATCTTCTTATTTCTATATGTATTTAATTATATTTTCAGTGTTAAGTTCTATATATTTCAGTGTCAGGTCAGGTTATATAGTGTCAAGATATATATTTCAGTGTTATGACATACCTGTCAGGATCAAACTTTTCAGGATTAGGAAAGTTATCTTTATTTCTGTGAATAGCATATATCGGGAACTGAATTTCAGTTCCTTTAGGAAATTTGATTCCTTTAATGACTGTATCTTCTCCTACCGCTCTACCATACCTACAATTGATTATGATCTGCTAGTTAACAAATCATTGCTGACTTCGTGAAGTATACTCTTAAATGTTGCCTATTTGACAACCTTTTCCCCCAAGCATTATATAGAAATGTAATTGACACTCATATAGTTAATGCGTTGTAATATACAGTTTGTACACCAAGTAACACCAAAGACTGTCTAACCTAACAAAGACATAATTTACCCATTAAATCGTATATCATGATTTCTGATTATATCGTTTGTTGAACCCCGAATCCCATCATTCTCCAAAATGCACTATCCCTCAAAGGCTGTTGTCAGGGATTATTCTAGCTTACATTTGTTTATTTTAAGTCTTTTTTCTCGCTTTCGATTTTAAGTAAACTATTTTATGTTGCACTGTAACACCACTGTCCCAAGTTAGGGTTAGGGGAAGGTGTGGCGCCAGCAAACATGTTTAACCCCGCCACATTCTGTATGTGCTTGTCCCAAGTCAGGAGCCTGTAATTTAGTGGTTGTCGTTCAGTGCTGTATATCATACTTGTTTTTCGTTTACCGGTATTGTTTTGTACATAAATCAGGCCGTTAGTTTTCTCGTTTGAATTGTTTTACATTTGGCATTTCATAGCTTACTATGCCTATGTGTTTTGCTCATTGTTGAAGGCCACACGGTGACATATAGTTGTTAAATTCTATGACATTTGGTCTCTGGTGGAGAGTTGTCTAATCGGCAACCATACCACATCTTATTTACTAGTATATATAGATCTGTATCAAGTTAAAAATTCAAGAATCATTTGTTGAAATGTTGATATGTATATTCATTAGTTTGTTTATTAAAAGATCATCGGAGCACTTGTTATATGAATATGTATTTTACGGCATAAACTAAAGAATTTTGATTTAGTTACTTGTGGGCATGGTGTACTGACGTTTGTTCCCACTGTATTATTTCCATTTATCGCATGAGTTTTGCATGAATAAATCCTGTTTTGGTTTAATTAAAGGCATATTTGAGGTAAATAGTTTGCATTTAGTAATCTTTATGTGTGGTGCATTGTTTGCTTTGAAATTAAAAGTAATTTCCAGTATTTTCCCCACGCAATATGCTTTTACAGCCGAATCTGTAGTTTAATTTAAAGCATATTCTGTCATAAATGTCATAAATGTATTTAAAGTCTTACACTCGGATTAATTTTATTTTGATTTTAAATGGTTATAGAATTTGTGTTGCTAATTCAACTTTAAAGAGACGAAAACAGTAAAATAAATATATTTATATGAATGAACTTTCCAGTCCAGTGAAAAGCAGAAAAAAAACATTGCAATACTCGTCAAAGAATTTAAGTCAAATCTAAATGAGTTGCATTCCACTAACCCCCTCAGTGCCATTCCAGTCCTGGTTAGCTAAACTAAACGTTCGACTTACCTGAGATAAGTAGGAAATAAACGTAATGTTTCATTCAGAACCATATCTAAGTATTGTAGATTATCTATCTCATGATATGACATATTTTCCTGAAGAAAATAATTAAATCAATATACCCAACTTAAAAAATCTATTAAATGATACCGTCTTTCTCTAGTTTTTTGTCATTGGCATATAAAATGAACAGGAACAAAGGTACTTTTTGTAACTTGCTAACAAAGAAAAGGTTCCAGATATTTTGCTGTCTACTATAAATTTATTGTTTTTGTTAGTGTAGCCTCGGGTGTTACCTTTAAACCTTTAATATCTGTTTGATAAGATACGTTTGAAAGATGTTCTACGTTTTTCTTTCTTTAGAAGCGAAGCGGCTGCAACTACTAGTTAAGGATGTACACCTCTGAGGAGTCAAACATTTCTAAAATTAAACCTTTTTTCTTAACCTGATTTTTGGGTTTATATGACTGTAAGAAAGTAATTGATGAAGAAAAAATCATATGGTGGTGCACTTCTTTTTTTGCTACGGCCATTTGAAAGTACCCTATTTTTAATGATTTCCCCATTTTTAAATTTTTAACCATTTTTGGGCTATTATCATGAAAAAAAAATCACAATTTCACAATCAAACATTTTTTCATACTTTCCCTTAAGATGAAGTGGACCAATCTGAATAAATTTATCTTTAAAAAACTATAGGTTGGTGTTAATTATAGAAAGTTTATTAAAATGTTGATGCTTTTTCGTGTCAAATTTGTAAATTTCTGATTTTTCTAAAAAAAAATTAAGAACAAAAAGCAGAGGATTTCAACTTCTTTGTTATAAATGATTGAAAAAATAAATATCTAAGAATTTTGAAAAAAAATGATATGGGATGTATATATTTTGATAAAATCATTTCTTTGTACCCCTCACCCATTTTCTCAACATTTTGGCTGATGACACTGACCGGATTGGTTAATGAAAATTTTATTACTCAAAAACTACTTATTGTAAGTATACATTTTTTTTTCACAGAGTTAATTTGATTATGATATTTTTTAAATTTATTGATATTCTCCACTAAGTGTATCACATGTTTATGAAATAATTTCCGAACGAGATTTCAACGAGACTGAAACATTAGAAGACGATAGTAGTGTATCATACTACTTTGAGGAAACACGGGTGGGGGTTATTTCGTGCATTTATATGGTTATAAGTGAAAATGAATGAAACAAAATATACAATATATACCAAAAACTAAACCCTGAGAAATGCAATTTGAGAACCACATTTTATACTTTTATGTAATGAATTATCCAAACTTCCAAAACTATATCTACGACAGAATGTAGTCAAAGTTTTTCTGTAATTTGTAATAACGAAATTCCCGTCGACTTAATAATTTACCACTTAAACATAAATCTTGTTCGTTAAAATCTAAAATGTCACTATGCATATACATGTAGACACAGTCATATGTGAACGAGTTTATGAAATAAATACCCCGCAAGAAGGTTGAAGAGACATCAGCGTCATCAGCGTCCAATTCAAAACGAATGTTAACAATAGGAAACGTTACATCGTCTCTTTTGTCTATATACTTACAGAAGATAGATTATTAGATATTTCTGAAACTACTTTATCTTGACAGCCCGGATGTTTGGCGAGACAATATAATGTAAACACAACGGTACTAGCTGTCGTATCGTAGCCAGCCAGAAAAAAGAATAAACAATTTGCAACGATCTCTGTTTCTGACAGTCTGTAATCTGCAAAATAAACGGTTAAATTATCAATAACAAATTAGAAAAAAAAACAGTTATGCACACACTGGCAGGACTGTACCATAGTATTATTAAACAGTTTTCGGATACACATTCATTCACATTTAGTATGTAACATTATAAATCAATAAATTATAAAATATATAACATAATTCAATTTAACAGCACGTAGTTCTTGAATTGTCATTAAAAATAATTACCATGTTTTGAATTTCATAGGACGCATCAATGACGTTTTTTTTAAATAAATTATATATCAAATAATTTGTGTTTTTTCAATAAAATTGAGAATGGAAATGGGGAATATGTCAAAGAAACAACAACCCGACCAAAGAGCAGACAACAGCCGAAGGCCACCAATGGGTCTTCAATGCAGCGAGAAAATCCCGCACCGGAGGTGGTCCTCAGCTGGCCCCTAAATAAAATTGTGTGCTAGTTCACTGGAAATGGACGTCACACTAAACTCCAAAACATATAAATGAACTAAAATTAAAAAACATACTAGACTAATAAAGGCCATGCAGAGGCTCCTGGCTTGGGACAGGCGCAAAAATGCGGCGGGGTTAAACATGTTTTGTGAGATATCAACCCTCCCCCTATACCTCTAGCCAATGTAGAATAAAGAAACACATAGCAATACGCACAGTAAAACTCAGTTTAAAAGAAGTCTGAGTCCGATGTTAGAATAGGTAACAAAAGAAACTAAGCAAAATGACAATGATACATAAATGAACAAAGGACTACTAGCAGTTACTGACATGCCAGCTCCAGACCTCAATTAAACTGATTGAAAGATTATGTCTTCATCATATGAAAATCAAGTACAATCCCTCCCGTTAGGGGTTTAGTATCATATTACCATCATAAAATATATGAGAAGAACATAACCCGTATCATGCCAACAACTGGTTTTAGAATAAATGTGTTTATTTCCGATGCAAAGACCCTATGAGTGAATCAATATTAATACCAAAATATGCAACCCTTAATGACTTGACAACAGTAAATCCATTATATCATAGTTTCCGGCATAAATTATCTATCAAAATGTCCAGTAAATGAGAGTGTATGACTGTCTTTCCACGATGATAAACAAATTTCTTTATCGTGTTATGTAACACGTATTTTATGAAATAACAAGGATGGTCGATTTTTAACTTATCAAAATTTCAAATGGGTTTTATGTCAATTGCAATGCATTATACGATAAACATTCAGATTATATTGAAAATTGAACAGAAAAAAGTAGTAATTATTAGAACTCTTGACATATTAAACATTAATACATAATATATGCTATTTTCACATGCAAGCAGAGTTTATAAAGTCACATTGACATACTTGTTCACGCAAATCAGTAGGAGATTGACATGTTTTAAAAGGGAGTAATATACATATACATGTAAGCTTAAGAAATATATATATATATATATATATAATATATATTGCCATGGTGCTGTCTTTTTTTTTCAACTTTTGATTTTTTTATATCTCCTTTTGGTATCTTCTGTTTCTTGGTCACTCGCCAAATGGTATCTTCGGAGAAAAGAGACAACTGGTCATTATCTTTTGGAATGTGGAATGTATTTTATCAATTGTAAATATTCCTATTTTTAAAATTGTCAAGTCCGATCTAGAGAAGCAGTAAATGATCTTTTCTGTAACTTAGTCCGCGCATAAATCAAATACACCGCTCAGTTCGCGCATAAATCAAGTACAACGATCAGTCCGCGCATAAATCAAGTACACCGATCAGTATAGAACCTTTTTACCAGAATCAACCGTTCTAATTAAAACATTTTATTGAACACCTAAGTTACTAAACATACACATGTACTTTTCTCACTCTCATGTTTCCTAATCATTATGTTTATTTATCATATTTTAGTATTATGAAAGTAAGAGTTAAATCGTTTGTTAACGTTCCTTATTAGAAATGTATTTGCATGGCGGAAGTGGATCAATATAAGGGTCATACTTTTTTTTATGTGTTTTGCTTTTCTAATTTATCTTATACAGTAACCTACTTTGTCTTATACAGTAACCTACTTTATCTTATACAGTAACCTACTTTGTCTTATACAGTAACCAACTTTGTCTTATACAGTAACCTACTTTGTCTTATACAGTAACCTACTTTGGGTTATACAGTAACCTACTTTGTCTTATACAGTAACCTACTTTGTCTTATACAGTAACCTACTTTGTCTTATACAGTAACCTACTTTGGGTTATACAGTAACCTACTTTGTCTTATACAGTAACCTACTTTGGGTTATACAGTAACCTACTTTGTCTTATACAGTAACCTACTTTGTCTTATACAGTAACCTACTTTGGGTTATACAGTAACCTACATTGTCTTATACAGTAACCTACTTTGTCTTATACAGTAACCTACTTTGAGTTATATAAAAATAAGAAGATGTGGTATGATTGTCAATGAGACAACTCTCCACCAGAGACCAAATGACATAGACGTTAACAACTATAGGCCACTGAACGGCCTTCAACAATAAGCAAAAGACATTCCGCATAGTAAGTTATAAAAGGCCTCGAAATGAAAAATGTAAAACAATTCAAACGAGAAAACCAACGGCCTGATTTATTTACAAAACAATAAACAAAGAACAAATATGATATATCGGAACAAAAGACAACCATTGAATTACAGGCTCCTGGCTTGGGACAGGCACATACAAATTATTAATAAAATATCCCCATAACTGTTTCGAATTCCCCTTTCAAAAGTCGTTTGTAAAAGATTTATCGTCACCGTGATAAAGATACACAATATCATAAATCATAAACAATATCAATGCACAAAATATTTGGAGTCTTAAAGCATCTTTCAAATAAATTATAAGCTACAGTGTAAATATTGCAACATTTTACTATACATGTACTCTTATGCCATTTTTTCAGTAACTATTGCAGGCTGTAAAAACTAAAGATAATGCAAACATTTTAAACTGACTGCAATGAATATTTTTGAATGAATGGCTGTCAATTAGGTTTGCATATAAAAAATAAGGATATTGGTACGAATGCCAACGAGACATCTATCAACCAGAGTCGAAATGACGTGTTTGTAAGCAACTAAAGGTCACTGTACGGACTTCAGTAATGAACAAAACCCGTACCGTATTGTAACCAACGGCCTCATTTATGATAAAACAAAAACAAAAATACTTAACCTGAAGCCATATTAGCGGCTGATTTTGTTGTATTGTTTTGACTATCTACTATGACTGAACGTCTTCTACTGCTAGTCATTATAAACGATAGTAAATCTGTTCGTACCTATAATACAAACAATTACTATGTAAGAAAACAATTATTGTGTACTACAAACAATTACTATGTAATACAAACAATTACTATGTAAGAAAACAATGATTGTGTACTACAAACAATTACTATGTAATACAAACAACTATGTGATACAAATTAATATATGTAATACAAACAATTACTATGTAATACAAACAATTACTATGTAATACAAAGAATTACTATGTAATAACTTCGTCACACACGTCACTATCATACAAACAGTTACTTTGTAATAACTTCTCCTAAATTCTTAAAGTTGCAATAATGACACAATATTATTATGTTCTTTCGTGAGCTAATAAAACATGGCAATCATGAAGTAATATAGTCTTCTAGAACGATACCACGTGTTTATTTTTTTATTATTATCCCCCCTCAATTTGTATACACTGCAGTTTTTATAAGCTGCATGTAAAATGCAGGTAATTAAAAGATTAAAAATTTGATGGGTACACTTAGATCATCTGATAATTAGGTAATATAAAAAAATCCTTTAAGGTTGTACATAATCGGTCACTAATATATACATATACAGACTGTTTGCACTTTTATAAAATTGTTAGCACTTTATAGCATTGTAATTTCAGTTTATTATAAATTTCCAGTACCTAAGAATCAAAGCAATATTTTGAAATATTCTCAGGCTAAATTTTGTGACTCCGAATCGCGTCCATTTAATATGTCACTATGTTCTACTGCTATTTTCCTAACTTCGAATAATTAAACTTGATGCAACATTTGTCTTTGACTTTCCATTAAATAATATAACGCCTGTTAGGACTTTTTTGCATACCTAGACATCAATGGATAGACATGTATATTTCTTTTTTACAAATGTATAATATAGAGTTCTCCCAAATAATTATGATTGACACTTGGGAATACATTAATTGATCAAAGTCCTTCTCAGATTGTAATGAGCGCGCATGATTTAACAAACGTCACATACAAACATTTCGGTTCACAATCAAAACCCAATCTATCCCAACAGTAATGATCTATCCCTACAATAATAATATATCCATATAGTACTGTTCTATCCCTACAGTTATGCTCTATCCCTACAGCAAGGTTATATCCCTACAGTAATGTTCTATCCCTACAGTACTGTTCTATCCCTACAGTAATGTTCTATCCCTACAGCAATGCTCTATCCCTACAGAAATGTTCTTTCCCTACAGTAATGCTCTATCCCTACAGTAAGTTCTATCCCTACAGCAATGTTCTATCCCGCCAGTAATGCTCTATCCCTACAGTCTATCCCTACAGTAATGTTCTATCCCCAGTAATGTTCTATCCCTAAAGGTATGCTCTATCCCTACAGTAATGCTCTATCCCTACAGTAATGTTCTATCCCTACAGTACTGTTCTATCCCTACAGTAATATTTTATCCCTACAGTAATGCTCTATCCCTACAGTAATGTTCTATCCCTACAGTAATGCTATATCCCTACAGACTATCCCTACAGTAATGCTCTATCCCTACAGTACTATTCTATCCCTACAGTAATGCTCTATCCCTACAGAAATGTTCTATTCCTACAGTACTGTTCTATCCCTACAGTAATGCTCTATCCCTACATTAATGTTCTATCCCTACAGTACTATTCTATCCCTACAGAAATGTTCTATCCCTACAGTACTGTTCTATTCCTACAGTAATGTTCTATCCCTACAGTAATGTTCTATCCCCACAGTAATGCTCTATCCATACAGCAATGGTCTATCCGTACAGTAATGTTCTATCCCGACAGTAATGTTCTATCCTACAATAATGCTCTATCCTTACAGTAATGGTCTATCCGTACAGTAATGTTCTATCCCTACAGTACTGTTCCATCTCTACATCAATGCTCTATCCCTACATTAATGTTCTGTCTCTACAGTACTATTCTATCCCAACAGTAATGTTCTATCCCTACAGTAATGCTCTATCCCTACAGTAATGCTCTATCCCTACAGTAATGTTTTATCCCTACAGTACTGTTCTATCCCTACAGTACTGCTCTATCCCTACAGTAATGCTCTATCCCTACGGTAATGTTTTATCCCTACAGTACTGTTCCATCTCTACATCAATGATCTATCCCTACAGTACTGTTCGATCCCTACAGTAATATCTATCCCTACAGTACTGTTATATCCTTACATCAATGTTCTATCCCTACAGTACTGTTCTATCCCAACAGTATTGCTCTATCCCTACAGTAATGTTCTATCCCTACAGTAATGTTCTATCCCTACAGTACTGTTCTATCTGTTCTATCCCTACAGTAATGCTCTATCCCTACAGTAATGCTCTGTCCCTACAGTAATGTTCTATCCCTACAGTAATGTTCTATCCCTACAGTACTGTTCTATCCCTACAGTTATGTTCTATTCCTACAGTTATGTTCTATCCCTACAGTAATGCTCTATCCCTACAGTAATGCTCTGTCCCTACAGTAATGTTATATCCTTACAGTAATGCTCTTTCCCTACAGTAATGCTCTATCCCTACAGTAATGCTCTATCCCTACAGTAATGCTCTGTCCCTACAGTAATGTTCTATCCTTACAGTAATGGTATATCCCTACAGTAATGTTCTATCCCTACAGTAATGTTCTATTCCTACAGTACTGTTCTATCCCTACAGTTATGTTCTATCCCTAGAGTAATGTTCTATCCCTACAGTAATGCTCTATCCCTACAGTTATGCTCTATCCCTACAGTAATGCTCTATCCCTACAGTAATATTCTATCCCTAAAGTAATGTTCCATCCCTACAGTAATGTTCTATGTCTACAGTAATGCTCTATCCCTACAGGAATGGTCTATCCCTACAGTAAAATTCTATCCTTACAGTAATGTTCTATCCCGACAGTAATGCTCTATCCCTACAGTAATGTTATATCCTTACAGTAATGCTCTTTCCCTACAGTAATGCTCTATCCCTACAGTAATGCTCTATCCCTACAGTAATGCTCTGTCCCTACAGTAATGTTCTATCCTTACAGTAATGGTATATCCCTACAGTAATGCTCTATCCCTACAGTAATGTTCTATCCCTACAGTAATGTTCTATCCCTACAGTAATGCTCTATCCCTACAGTAATGCTCTATCCCTACATTAATGTTCTTTCCCCACAGTAATGCTCACCCCTTCCGTATGTCTCTTTTTCATCTTCTTTGTAACAAGGTTTGTCAGAAACTTCCTGACATCGGCTGGGATTGCGTTGTAACTGAATGCAGAAAATATCTTTGACATCGCTGGACATACAGCTGAAAATACATAACAATAGTATAAGTGTATGCAACAGTAGTTTAGAAAAAGATACAATGCAAGGTAACATACAAAAAAGAGAGAATCGCATGAACTTCAAAGGAACGAGACCTCTTGCATCTCCTGCTCTAGATGATGCTTCATCCCATGCGATTCAACACTCAGTCAAAATGTCACAATCGGGAATAGGACACATATTCTGGTATCTAAAGATCTAATACCGCGATAATATATCACTAGACACAGACCCTACGTATCGGTCAACCGATTCTTGGTGGGGTCTACACGTGTCAATATGAGTAGTTCTTCCTCATAACTATGTTAGAGCAGTTTTTGTTTAAGATCACACCCTGTTAAAGAAGTCCGCAGTGTGAACATGCACGAACATGTCATATTTTCAATTTGTTTCTGTAATTAAAAATAACAGGGAAGTGAACATTGTATGATTCATTTATTCCTGAGTACTTCAAGAAGCAATTTCTTATAATGCCCGGGGAATTTAACTACAACCATCGTCGTCATCGTCCTCTTCCGGCTCCTCCTCCTCCTCCTCTGTATCATTATAATGTTGATTAGTGTAGTAAAGAACCAGACAATTATTCATTAAATCGGATTTAGTTGCAAAGTTCATGCCAAACGTATTGTATCAAACCGTATTACAGAATCGTTATATAATATCAACATTTTGATTAATCAACCTCATGACATCCGACGATTGTCGATGAGCACGTGACCCATTCACAGAAGAATCGATGTTGTCAACGCTTGGCTTACAATGTAAACCAGCCTAGACTAAGGATTGGTATGTGAATCTCCTTTTGTTAGAAAAAAAATACTTTAGTATATATCATGACTTCATCAACGGCAATGAATACAAGCAATGAATAACATGTTGCTTGAAAAGACATATATGTAAAATTGTGAAAAAATATTGATGAAACTTTTTTTAATTTTAATATTACTAAGGTTGCTCCGTAAGCTTTCTGTAAGGTTTATAATACCTCTAGGTTTCTCATAAATTAATGTTCATACCACAAGCCACTGCAGGTCTTGCTATTCCTGCCGTTCCAGCCATCCATCCTTTCTTTATCATATTGACAGTCTTGTCGTCTCTATCTTTATAGGAATTCACATTATATCCAAATAAACTATTACACAGTGAGTCAACAGAAAATGCCAAACATAACCTACAATCACGTTAATGAAAATATTGCATTAAAAAAATCCTAGATCATTTAACTTATATTTAGTACATACTTATATATACCCCATCTTTTTTACACAAAAACAAGTGTGCATTTCATTTTTAATTATTTCCCCCTTTTATCGTTACATTTAAGAGTTTGTTTTAACTTCAGAACTTAAATGTCAACAACTTTTACATACATGTATACTTCTTTTATTTATTTTTTTAATCTTTTTTTTCTTTTGAGACTTTGTCTTTATTTTCCCATGTACATGTATGCACTGTATTGTCAACAGAATACTTCAATGTTCCTTATTTCGTTTCCATGACGAGGGCGATATTTGATATATTGATTACATTCTTATGCTACGGTACTAACATTATTTATAGCATATCTTTATTAAATTCTTCGTTGATAAATTAAGAAATTGTTCAAAAACTAAAGTGTTATCCCCTCATGCAAAGTTGACCTTCAATTGATTTGGCAATTTGTTACGGTCTCTTCTTGTACTATAGCTCCTGAAGTGTTTAAGTATATTTATACCATCCCTGTTTTATCAAATTGTTAGGTTTGGTTAAACCTGATGAAGTTTAATCCAGACAAGATTCTCGGGCGCACAAAATGTGAAGTTTAATCCAGACAAGTGTCTCGGGCGCACAAAATGTGAAGTTTAATCCAGACAAGTGTCTCGGGCGCACAAATTTTATTAAGTGGTATTGTGAGATTTTTTCAGCGTAAACCAGGGTCTATACCTCACTGATTTTGGCAGTCTTGTGTTATGTCTCATATTAATGTTTATATCTCACAGTTCCTTATATCAAAGCTATTAATATTTGATGTATTCTTACTCTTGAAAGTCAAAATCATTCTCTGCTGTTAACTTCTCTTCAATGTTTTGTATCAGGTGCTCGGTTGACTGTAACACTTTCCCTGTTATCTGTTGACAAAGGAAAGGGATTCATTCAATCACATTTTTTTGTAGGTTAATTTCTTTCAATGGTGCAGGCCAAACATGTATCAAATTAAACTTAGACATTGTTTAAAAAGTGATGCGCGCCAAAACTGCTGCGCTTAAAGTGCTCTCTTTGGATTCACTCTGTCAGAGCCAAACAAGAAGCAATAACAAATTAATAAACATAGGAAGCTCACATTGAAATTAGTATTTATATTCAACATTTTCCGAACCCTTTGTTACTTGTCACTCATCTATGGTATGATTGCCAATGAGACAACTCTTCATCAGAGACCAAATGACATTGAAGTTTACAATTATTGGTCATCATACGGCCTTCAATAATGAGCAAAACCCATACCGCATGCATCTAGGTTATCTCAAAAGTTTTGTGTCGGTGTCTATTCCCATTCTCAGTTTATTATGCATTAAAAATATTACTTTTTCAAATAACTTACGTTAATTGTGTTTAATATTTTTGTCTATTGTATTCTACAAGAGCATTTTAGTTTTAATATATATTTTTACTTTTCTAATAAGGAACATTTTACAACAAATGGTATAAAATATATAAATAATCATTAAACAAATATTATCTACAACATTTGATCCTACTATCAGTTAGGTTTGCAATTCTGAATAAAAAGAGATGTAGGGTATATACGTCAATGGGACAGTAACTTTGTTCGGTACCTCTTTTGTCAATGGAATAACACAACGTACAATAAAGTTCAGAACACATATTGCTTCTATACTGTTAGATCAATTCTAACATCTTTTATTTAAACAGATTTTTTTTTTTGAAGTTCCATTTAAAGCACGCGATACTCTTTTTTGTCAATTTCCTCGAATTGTTTGTGTAACAATCTTCTTGATAATCTTCGATAAATACAATTAAGTGGTTTTTATTTATTGTGTAATCTAGTTTATCACGTTATGTACTTCCCTATGATTAATGTAAATGGATAACGTTTCTTAATGTATGTGAATATGATAATGTGATAATGAATCCGAAAACTAGTTGTAACTGAAGATTTTAATTATAATACCTCATTGTTAAGATTTAAGGAAAGTATTTGAAGTCGATAATAAAATAATTGTTTGCATGATAGAAACTATTATATAAACAAGGAAGTTAACGGTAAAATATCATTTAAAGGTGTAAATAGATATTTTATTATTACGTGTAAAGATATAATACATTGAAAATCCTAAAGTTTAAATCCTACCTACTATGACGGCTTTGGTTATATTAATGTCCTGTTTTGTTTGATGCTCTCAATTTTTTTTTTATTTCGGACAATAACGTACTTTATAATCTAAGTTGTTCTCTTGAGAATACGTTTACTTTGTAGATGATGACCTTTAGAAATCTCCTGTTCTTAGGGAATGTTTTCTCTCCCTTTTTATGCTTCATTTACGTATACCGTTATTTTTTTATAGTATTCATGCATTGTAATGAAGTGCTAATAGTTCAAAATGTCGTTCGAGAAAACATGATCCGTATTTGTTTCCTAACACTAGAACACTACCCATACTAGGATATTTAACACGAGTACAATGTATAACGGGTACTTTTTTGTTGTTG